GGTGGGAGGATCACCACGAGTTTTGCCGCAATGTTCACAAATTTCCTCGCAGTCCGGGAAATCCCATATTTCTTCGTGACATTTTGGACGGCTGACTATACAATATTCCACCGGTTCGTCCAAAACATCGTACTCCTCTTTATCTTCATCACTTGAAATTTTTCTTGGCACATAATTTTCGGTTACTTAATTGGTATATAACCTAATTAACGAAGCGATAATATTAACAATAAAGTAAATATTAAAAAAATTTCAAATTTTCCCACTAGGTGAGCGTTATGTACGCTTATGTGTTGTTCGTTTATTTTCGTTAGAACTTGTGTAATCCTTTTTTCAATCGCATTCTCAAAATATAATTAATTTTGGAATATTTGAAATGTTTCGGCCTGAGCCAATCGAGATTTGGACCGCTGAAAATGATGGCCATTGTCTACTGCCTGAAGCCCTGTTGTCGATCCCTGGTAGAAATGCAACATTTTTTCACCATTGTTGTAACGCTTTTTCTCATAAAAAATGACTATTTAATGTTCATTTGTCATGAATTGCCATTAAATGGCCAATTTTTGTGAGAAAAAGCGTTACACCAATGTTGAAAAAATGTTGCATTTTTATCAGGGATCCAGAGTTCAGTAAACATGGCGTCCAGATATTCGGTGACATCCTTGGTACCGCGTGGCGTCATTCCATTTTATTGATACTACATGTGATTTAGTGGCACCGAAGTGGCACTGAACAAATTGTGTACAAAAATTATGAATAAAAAAGTAACTCACCTTCTAAGTTATCTCAAATAATACACAGACTCCATGCACAATGGTGTAACACATGACTGTGATGTATTCGAAAAGAAATGTTTTGATAAGCTTTATCTCAAAATTCGCATTTATCGCCATACATGTAACATTTGCGAAAAAATATATTTAATCCGATCGAACCTCATTCAGCATGTCAAAGCGTCGCGTAAAGGTATCACTTCCAAATGTGGAAAAAAGTTTTCACGGAATAAACGTTCAGCAACGCGTCTAAGCGATTTCAGCAATGTCAAACATCGAATAAATAATCACATTTCAGGAAAAATACTATTTTTCATGCTAATATTAGAAAGCTGAATAATTACCTATCAAAATTTCCTTTTTTTCTTAATTTCCCCAAATTTTTGGGACCTCAATGAACAATCATCAAAGTCCACATGCGACAAGTAACAAAAATTTTAATCGCGATTTTAGTCTCTAATTTTCAGGCTTTTTTATAGAATTACTCATACACTATGGAGAAAACATTTTACCCGCAAGAGAGGAAATTCAGATGAGAACTAAATTATTACGACTGCGAGAGCATACGTTTCCATGTTCATTCCTCAGAGACGAGAGTGGAATATTCTTTTTGAAAATCATATCCTCACGTTCGGGCTATTATTCGAGTTGAAATTTTGCTCTCAATTAAAGAAACGACTTACATATGGGCGGATATCTCGCGTGTGCAATTCAGTCTCTACGAATGCTGACTGAAACTTTTACCTATGGAATTAGAAGAAATAATTTTTAACAATTGCGAAAAATTCGAGTTCGTTGAATTATTTGTTCGAAATAAGTCGAGACCACAAAGGTAGATGCAATAAATTATATATAGATATAAAAATGTATATGGTAAGTGTAAGTAATCGGCCGTACTGAGCTGGATATATTGTGTTGAATTCATGTAAAATATTTATTACATTAGGTGTCACTGCACATGTTGAAATAATTCTGTAATGATAATATTTTATTTCCAACGAAAATCGAGCATAAAAATAAATATATAACTTTAATGATATAATTGATTTGAATTCAAAATTTATCAACTCTTTTTTATTACTACCAAAAGTTTAAATCAATCATTATTACATTTGGAAAGCCTCACGTCCAAAGTAATTTAAATGCCTATTAATGATAAGTAGGCTTTTCGGGAAAAAAATTATCCGTTAAGTCACCAATACTGCTACTGTCGGTATGGAAGAAAATTCATGATCATAGAATATAATTTCTACTCACGGTAAAAAGCGCGATCTACATCTTCAGATGGTAAGTCCTCGTCACTGTTCGATTTAAATTTACACCACACTGCAAAAGAAAAATAATCATGCAGTTCAAAAATACATAACATTCAGAGATTTATGCTTTTTAAAAATTTAAATAGTCAATAAAAAATGTTGATGAATTTTACTAATCATAATTATATCAATTATTTGTTGCTACCTTTTTTGAAAAATATCCTGATTCCTGATTCTTGAGACTTCTTTGATTGATTACATCGAGGGCTGTCGATATATTCTTCAAAACTACTGATCGAAGAATCCTAAAATTATTGATTACAATTTTAAAATTAAATTTTACATATAAAATTAAAAACTACGTTGGATGTTCGGGTGCACCAACAGAAATATTTACTTACTTATTTTTATTTAAGACTAGTTTAATTTATCAATTGAATGTTTTACTGAATTGTACAATTATTTATATTCAAAACGAGTATTTTATTGTTTTCTATAATTGTTAAATTGGCACGATTAAACTAATTATATGTATAAATAAATATTATTCTTCGGATTTTATTATAAATTATAAAAATATTACAATTATCTTAAAATATACGATATAAAAATTATTCACCATATCTTCCCACATGTTGTGAATTTGATCTACTGTCAAAAACAACTTGCACTTTCAAAATAACACTAAAATAATTTCACGAGTTTTTCCCGAAACAGCCAAGCTCGAACAAACAAAATTCTCGAAAGTCAAATTTCCCAGCGCAGCCTGCGTTCAATATATAGTCTGTGATTCGCAAACGTAAACTAAAGACTAACGTACTTTGCGAACAGCTTGATTGAGCTTTTTCCCTTCATCTCTCTTAATTTCTTTCTCCCACTCGTCGTGTTTCGCGTACGAATCAAGAGTATTTTTGGTGCAAGTTTATGCGTTCTGGAGTTTATTGTATATGGTCTGCCAAAGGCTTTATTGGTACAACTTCGTATTAGCGAAAGTATGTCAATGATATTTCACTTTATGCCATTTCATTCATCATTACATGGCTTCGCTCTCATCGCTGTAACCCATAACGCCTGGAAATGAACTAAAATTCAATTTTGCTTTATTACCCACTTTTCTATTCTGATAGCACATCTTTGTATCTCCAAGGAAAGACACGTCGGATGTGTTCATTGACGGAATGATGAATTGATAGTTTCGGAACCGAGAACGTGTTGATAAAATTATTCTAACACACGCTGAATTTCATATTCGGCAGTTATTAACGAGAACGCATCGAACAATAAATAATAAAACCTCGTAGTGGGCAAGCTCCAAGCTATATATACCAAGGTGAAAATGGCTACACGGGCTCGTTAGTGCACGTCAAAAACTTAAAATTCCTTTTGAGTGCTACATGGTTCACACAATCAACTCGGATTTCCCGTGGTCTCGCGCGCATTTTTCTCTGTGATCTTCTTGTATTACAGCAGTTCACACGTGGTATGGATATGAATACATATTGTGTCGCGCACTTGTTTTGGTCGCGCGCACCCCGCGATGCCGTTCTAATGGATCCAGTATGCCGTAACCGACTTTTTGTTTTCCAATTCGGATGTTCCTTCATTAAGAGGAATTATTGAAAATGATGTAGAGACCACCACACGTGTGTGGTAGATCTCCGCACGATAAGCTTTTGGAAATCCTCGATTGTTCCATCAAATGACCATCGATCATATTTTGAGACGATGGTTCATCATTGTTCGACGCGTCATAATTGGCCATAATTGGCGGCCAAGTATCGGTGTACTGTTTCAAATATTTCATTCGAAAGAAATTGACCGCACGGATGGTCAATGGAGGATGGAGACTATCAAATCAAGGTATACACAACCACATGGGAGAATGCAACGCACGTGTGAGGTATACAGTTTAACGCTTCTAATGATTTTTTTCTCTCCTCATTTCAATAGGTATACTACCTACATACGATGTAATTCTCAAAATTATCGACGATCGAGTGTACGCATGAAAACGTACTCCCTTTCTCTATATAAATTTTCTGACAGGTAGTCATTTTAGTAGGTACGGTATCGAAGAAAAATAATTTTTCTTCCTATCGTCATCGGAATTATACAGTATATATAATACGAGCCTATAATGCACTCGAAGCCTCAACTGCAGTAAAGGCATTGAATTATAAATCTCTTCTACACATCGGGAGTACAGGGCAAAAAAATAAATGGAGAAATATGAAAATAAAAAGTTTAAACGCTCCATCGTATGCCTTATCGGCTGTTCAGTCCTTCCTGAAATATATAATGCATGTACGCAGAAGTCGGCTAACAATACTGTGGGCGCGATACATCGCGATACGCAATCCTCATTCGAAACGCCGGGCGGCACGCGCGCGTATTTTTGCAGGGGGGGGGGGGGGGAAAAATTTNGGGGGGGTAAAAATTTGAAGCTGATCGGACAAATAGATTTGAGATCATAAAAGACAAACAGACATCAAATTCGCTTTATATTTATGGAATTTATAAGAAGGAAAATGACGACACGATCATTTTAAAAATGTTGTATCTTCGTTTATATTGATTCATCAAAAAACAATTGAAAAAGGGCTTATCATTTTCTTAAAACTTACTTATAATTTCGCGCTAAGCGATAACTAGTGATTCAAAAATAAGCATCCTGTCGTTTTACGAAAATAAATATATTTAAATGAATAATACTTGCAACGCGGCATGTAAATGTTTTGAATTCTTATATAAAAACAAATTTATTCAATTACAGCTTCATTCTACTAAAATGTACAAAAATTATAACTTAATTGAAGTCATAAAATTAGTAAATAGCATAAAAATTTTTCTATTCAATTTTTACTGTACTTTAAATTTCGCGCTCTCAAAATATGTGCGACTTGGAAATGCTGACACCGACTCTGCAACGCCACATATGACTATGTTATCCTGTCGTCCGGCTCTCACTCCATTGTCACTCATACTGCAGTGGCGGTGGATAAGTAATCCTTCTCGCATAACATTGCAGACGTCACGCCAAAGTAACAGTCGTAGCTATTGGCGTTTGTGTATCATCAGAAAATAAAATTATATCTCTGCTTCAGCTGCAACTTTGTTATTGCCACGCTAACGTCACGGTGAACCAGCAGTATAGATCACATAAGTGTACATAATCAGAGAAAAATTGCCAGAATTTCAATATTTACTGTATGTTAGCGAGTTAAATAGTTTAAAATTACATCGAGAACAGTACAGTGCTGATACATTAACAGTGTGCCTAACTAATAAACAATTCTTCAGTTTTCACGAGCAGTTATTGTTCGTGAGCAGGTTTTTTGACAGCTGAATCCAATGGTAAGCTCACGTTACAGAATGATGAATAAACATCATTCAAAATCTGACACACGAACTTGATTCGAATAGCAATCAACTAATATCTTGTTTGTAATTTATTGAATTGCGGGCGTTTACATTTTATAGCCTTAGGTATTTTCGATTTTATCTAAATGTTGACTAGTAAAATATGATATATTATTGGCTTTGTTTAGATTCAAAAATACAACTTTGTCTTTTTGTTAATAAAACTTATGTTTTGTTCTCCAGATTTGTGAAAAGCCATGAGTTACAATGAGAAAGAGGGTATTACCAAAGAAGAATGGATGGCTCGGTTGGAAGGCAGATCTCATATACAGCGTACTCAAATGAATAACCTTATAATGAACTATTTAGTTACTGGTAATTTGATTGCTGACAAATGTTTATTGCGTCATTTTAAATAAACAAAAATATTCTAAATGACTGATTGATTGATTATTCAGAAGGGTTCAAAGAAGCAGCTGAAAAATTTCAGCAGGAATCTGGAGTAGCTCCTTCTGTAGACTTGGATTCTTTAGATGATAGAATTCGCATTCGGGATGCAATTCAAAACGGTCGTATCGAGGAAGCCAAAGTTCTGGTCAATCAATTACATCCTGAATTATTGGACAATGATAGATATTTGCATTTTCATCTGCAACAACTTCATCTGATTGAACTTATACGAACTGGAAAAATTGAAGAGGCGTTGCAGTTTGCGCAAGAGCAGTTGAGTGAAGCAGGGGAATCGGATGAAAATATTTTAGGTGAATTGGAGCGAACTTTAGCATTACTAGCTTTTGATGAGCCTCAGAGAAGTCCTTTTAGTGATTTATTGCAACCTACTCACAGACAGAAGGTAAATCTCACATTATCTTACATATGTACTATTGATTATTTAGAAAGTAACTAAAATGATTATTAATTAATTACAATAGATTGCCAGTGAATTGAATGCTGCAATATTGAAAATGGAACATCAAGAGTCAACAACTCCAAGATTGAATAATTTATTAAAAATGATTTTGTGGGCCCAAGATGAATTAGACAAGAAAAAAGTTAAATATCCAAAAATGACAGACTTGGCAAATGCCACCATTGATGGACCCAAATAATATATTTTGTAAAAAAGGCTACTTATAGAGAGCATTATAATTACGATTGTAACCTGAAAAGTTTGAACTTGAACGGTTAATGTTAAATGTAATCTTGATACATCATTTGTTTAGAGAATTAAAAGTTCTACAAGGTAATATTATAATTATAAGTGTAATAAATATTGATGTCAAACACTTTTTTTAAAGAAGTAAAAATAAAGGTTTTATTTCATTAGCATTTACAAGTATTTATTCGCTGGTTTTTTCTAGTAATCTATGATTTTTCAATTGCATTATCTACTTTGTTGGTGCAAAAATCAAAAAACTAGCCTCAATTAATAAACAACATTCAATACAGAATCAGAAAAACTTTTTACAAAATATTAAAAGAGCAATTTAGATTGTAAGCTAATTATTTTTTAAAAATAATTGTTGCAATAGCATCTATGAAATTCATTTCATCGAAAACAATCTTGCTATCCATGAGAATTCAAAAAATAGCACTCAATATTTACCCTATATCAACACATGAAATTTTATTTACTTTTACCACAAAACAAGCAACAATATTAAAATATTCATGTCCATATTTCATTCGTAAAAATACTAGTTGAATCAGATTTGAGTTAAGATCCACTAATTACAAATATAAAATTATTATTGCTCGTTGAGCAATTGTCAGGCAATGAGTACACAATGAATCACCATCCAAAAACATACTCCATGGCTTTTGTAACTAATCCAGTTGATTTGTGTGGAACATTATCGGGTGATCTAACAGCTTGAGGGCTCATATGTTGGTTATAACCAGAAACCAGTGGTCGAGCATTTGGTATTCTGACTGGTGTTTTATTCGCGCCAACTCCAGTCATGTGACCTGCTTTAACAGGTGTTGAAAACATTCTCATACTTTCACTTAGTTTTGATCTGTTTTCTTTGTCGGTTCCAAGTATTACGCCTTCATCAGTACAAGGAATAACACCTATCATAACTGATCCTGAAACAATATTACCATTGCACGCTAATGCCCTTTGAGCTTCTTGATCACTAGAACACTTGAGATGAATCCAATTGCTCTGAGAATGAGGAGCTGGATGCTTATCAATTATTCTCACTCTGCTGGAAATATGCGACAATACTATGTTTAGAGCAGCCATCGGAAAACCAAATACAGTGATCCACTGTAGCAGACCTTGAGTTGATTCATTTTGTGTTTGGTTAATTGGAGTTTCACAATATGGGGCATTGACCGTAGTATTTGCTGAAATAAAATTTATCTAATTTTAGATTGACTTATAATAATGAATTTTTTGTTTTTAGCACAATTACCAAATCCTGATCCAAGGACTCTGGAGTGATTAAAGCTCTGATTATTAAGTGTAACACTTTGAGGAGTACTCATTGTTTGCTTTGTATCTAAACTATCGTATAAAGATTTTGTAGGTGGTCCATTCGCATGATTTTCTGGTGCAATTTGAGATAAACTTGGATTGCTACCGCTTGCAAACATGGCTTTCTGTCGGTTCATTCTTAGCTCGGGTGTAGCGTACCCTCCAAGCGGAGTGCTTGGAGTTCCATGCATATGTGAGTATCTATTGGATTCAGGAGACATGACACCAATTCTCTAGTGAGAGTAAATATAGATACGTTACAGTATTTGTTAAATTAATTAATGAAAAGAGTAGAGACACTTTTAAATGTTAACGATCATTAACTTACTGGATTAGTATCACCTAATAGAAATCCAGGAAGAAAGTTTGATCCAGGCCCTGGACTGTTAGCTGGTTGGGCTGGACTACCAATGGGTGATCCTAGACTCATTGGTTCCATCTGGGAGAATGAAATTAAATCAATAAGTTAAACTCCAAATAATTACATAGTTTATGTAAACAATGTTATGATATTAAGGTTATGTATCCATTCAAAAAAAATGCTAACTTTAGAATGAGATGTATATCTAGCTAGACAAATCATGTGAGAAAACACAACAGTTTGGTTAAAATAATGATGAATGAAAGTAAAGAAATGACAATTTAAAAAAATACTCACTCTTGATGAAAAAAGATGGATAAAGTTGTCGAGATTGCAGAGAATGGCCTAGCCAGTGATAGAGGTGTCGAGAGACTTGGCACTGAATTATACGTTAAACGAGTTTAAATTTTGAAAACTCCCCTCAAAATTGTCGAGCAGCAGCAGCTCCGAACTCGGTAATCGGGATCCGACGAAAGTCGACGAGTGTGTGTGTGCGAATCGATGCGGACTGCGGTGCGCGGGATTGGCGCGCGTCCCGCTTTTACCTACCGTTCCTCAGCCTACTCCACAATAAAATAATCGAGACTCTCAGGACCAAGGGGTGTGCCTATCTAACCGCGCGAAATAAAAAAGTCGACAAATATTTGCATGCTTGCTCTGCTATGCTCGGCTTGCTAGCTTCGAGCACCTCTGACAATAGTATGATATTTACATTCGACCGATTTACATTTCAACATTTTTCAGCTCATTATATAAGTAATACGAATAATGATCTTAGAATGATTAAAAGATGTTTCTAAATCGGTTATTAAAATCAAAGGATTTGAAAAGTTTGAACGAGCTCGTTGGTAAACTTGTTGACTTTGATTCGATGATTTTAAATTGTCGCAGTTCATGGGGAGTTTTGTTTAAACTAATCATAAAAAATGAAATGAACTTTGACTACTTTGTATCTTTTTCTTTGTGATCAGCTAGATCAGCTAGACCAGTAGCATATTTTTATTGAAAAAGCAGTGCAATTAGTAATTACCAGCAATCCTATCGATACACTCAAATAAATCCACTTATCATTGAATTTTCTTGAAATTCATTATTTGACTAATAATTTCCATCCGATCCGCAAAAAAATGTCCCGGTTGCCCTTGGCTGGCGAGAGTCAAACATTTCTATTCGCTCGGTATAAATTTACAAAAATGCAACGGAATGCTCTCTTGGAATCGACGAGAAAGAAAAATTGCCGCTGAAAATAAGTCGGTCGCGCAAAATCACATTTGCCGCGCATCGGTTCAAGTGTAAAAATACTTGTATCTAGACGCTTTTTACGGTATGAGGTATATAATTATAGAATATTTTCCAGCCTGCAAATGTCGAAGAAAAGTCCCGTGAGATTTTCGCGGTTGACCCCGCAGCAGCAGCCGCTGTACTGCGTCGGGCGCCGTTGTTGCGCTAAATAAATCGATGGTTTCGTGCCTCTGCCTGTGCTTTCGATGCGTAGAGCCTCGGACACACATTTTTTATATTTATATTTATTTTATTTTATTTTATTTATTTACCTCTTTTTTCGTATTTATTCAGTCGGTCTAGCCTAGTAGTTTCGACTTGGATTCTGTATAGCGGTGGTTATATTTACTGCGCAACAGTAAACGTACATAAACGTGTATACGCGCAGTCATATATTGCAGAGAGGGATACTTTTATCCAAGAAGGATTAGTTCATTAGTTGCAGCGGCCTCGTGGGAAATGTCGCCGAATGGCTATTATTATTCGTACAGGTGATCGGCCGGCCGATCTCTCTGCGTGTACGACTGATGCTAGTTGGCCTAATGCATCTGTATCTGTACATACGTCATATACAACACGGATACTCGAACTTTTGCCTCTACGCGACATTGGACAGTTTTTAATTAATTTTTTATACCACAACTGTACAGGCCTAACAGTCTGGGATCGAACAATGCACGAGAATTATTTAAGGCTAAACCATTCGACTCATTTTCAAAACGACTCGTATATGTGTAATTTGATGGGTTTCTTGAAACTTTTATCGATATTCCCATAACTTTATCGACACTCGTGATATTTTTATCACGATGTCTTTTGCAAAAATAATCGAATGCGTATAAACGCACGCGTTGCCAAGAGTTCATTCTCACCTATGTCTATATAAAACGCAGACTAGCTACTTTTCTTGTTCTTTTTGGCTCTTTGTGCCAGAGAGGAGAGAAGCGTTGCGAATTTTCCACGCCGTTGGCTTCTCACGGTTTGTTTACGTAGATATAGTCAATGGGTCGTTTTTTTTTCTCGTTTCTCTTTTGTACGGGGCTTGCGATGATTCGATTAGGGAAAGTCGTTTGAAGATTTCCCGTGAGTTGATGTCTGACACATTTGCAGGAACTCCCAAGACTACCTGGCTATATGTATAATACAAATATATGTGTGTGTGTGTGTAGAAGGATGGAAAGCCTGATTCGAGGAAAAGGCGCGAAATTTTATCGCGCACAGTTATTTGCATCGTGCACTGTGTATTTTGCACATTTTAAGCATCTGCTCGTCTCTCGCGTCAATCGCTTTGAGCCTTTTCAATCTTAGTTTGCGTCGAGTTTCCTCGAGCCACGATCTTAATTTTTGCAACACTTGGAAGCTCTCTCCAATAGTATACATACCTTTAATCCCTGGTATGACAACACATTGTTTTTATCGAAGCTTTTTAGTCGAGTAAAATGTCCAGACAAGTTTATAAAAAAGCCTGCGGAAACTGACTTTTTCATCGCGAGGCCGTCTCGCAAGCTCATTGATTCAAATGTGCCGTTGCTATACACGCGCGGCTCTCGCACCTTTCTTATGCGTGCAGCGGTGGTCTCACCCCCCCAGTGGACGGGGGTAAACTTGTGCAAAAGGCCAGATTAGTAGGTTTGTGTGTTTTTGCCACTGCCGAGCTTGTGCATACCTGCATAGGCCAGAGTAGCGCGCGGCACGAGCAAGAAACATTATATTAAATACTAATGTCATATCTAGCCGCAGTTAGTAACGAGGAGCCATTACGCGCCTCTAGCCTAATTAATTTAATTAACTTTTGTCGTTTGTCTTGCGAGCCTTGGCTGCTTCACTTGCATAAATGAATACATGTATACCACTCTTTGGCCCTGAATTATAATACAAGAATACATTTATAATACAATTAGACCTCGAGTTCGAGTCCTAGTATCCGCCGTGCTATATCGTTGCCGTCATGCATGAGACTTTTTCGAAATGGCTCTGTAGTGACATTTGATAGACGCGTCTTTTATCGCCGCAGCTGTCGTATATAATCACGCCCAAATCCTTATCATTTTTTTGCGCCTCATTCTCATTTTTTTTTTCTCAACCTACCTCATCTTCTTCTTATATAACTCGGTCATACAGTAGAGGGAGCATCATGCGGAGTCACGCCACGTCACAAATTCATTAACGGCACGTATTTCTCTCTTTCTGCGCATGTGTTCCGTAAAAAAAAAAGAAAAAAAAATTATCAACTCCAAATACATGTGCTGGTATAAAAGTGTTATTTTTGTTATTCACTCGACAGGAGAGAAAAAAAAAGAATCCTTCTTTCACGCGCTCGTTCGAGCTACAGTTGGCAGATTTCAGCTGCAAATCCGTTTATAACCCAAATTAAATTAAACTACGTCGGCTATGCTACACGGCTATGCTGATGTTTTCATCTCATTTCGTTTTTCAGCGTGAAAGTAGAAATACACAGACACGCACACACGCACACACGGATATAAACATGTACGTATACACACTCGCAGATGCGGATACAGGCGGACTCGGCAGTAGTCGGCTGGTTGAAGCAAACTTGCAAGGGGGAGTAAGTATATATGCACGCGGCAGCTCGTTGGAAAGCCACAAAAGATTATCACTTAATCCAATAAACGAGTTGGCTTCGGTGAAAAAAAGGAGGGAAAAGAGAGAGAGCGAGAGTCAGGTATGTGTGCTTAATCTGGACCTCTGCTACCTTGAAATCCAACGAATGTTCATCTCGCAGCCAATTAACGCGAAAAATAATTAATTTTTGGCTTTTCTTCGCGAGTTTATTCCTCCGAGCTTCATTCGGTCTCGGTGATTAGCGTATAAAATATGTGGATATTAGATGCCGAGCCAAGCGCAATAAAAAACCAAAACTGGTTTATATAGATACGCATTGACTACAAGAGACTCTCAACATCGGTAAATGGTCGATTTGGCATGAAGCCTCCGAAGGTACATTTCGGAGCTCTACGTAATGCCGCGAAGAAAGAGAGATGGAGAGATTGAGAGTATATAAGTGAGATGGACGTTATATATATATACATTTGGGAGTGGCGGCGAGGCTCGTGTAAAGACAGATACACGATTATGTACCTGACTCTACGTGTCCGTGCTGGGTGTCTGGCTGTGTGCTACTATATACATAGCTGCAGCCGCTATAGCAAAGAGCAAAAACTTGATATTCCAGCCAGGTAGTCCTCACACGATATATACTTGGTTCGTTCTTCCTAATCATCCCCGCGCCGCAGTGCCGCTGCTAGTCCCTCTTGTGCCAGCAAAGAGTACATACATACATTGGAGCTACTGCGAGTTCTTTAGATATTTTCTTTCTCCTGCTCTTCTTCTTTTTTTTTCTTCTTTTTTCGTCGGTCGTCTTCGTATTATCGGGTGCCAAGACGTAGCAGAAGCAGCAGCAGCAGGGGTATCGACAAGTAGACGCTCGAAACCGTCGCCGCGGAGCGTGATTCGCCTCCTGAAACAGCATTATTGCGGTTGTTCGACGTTATATGTATATATAACTTATGTATATAAAATTGCTGGCTCTATATGTGAAGCTTGATTTTTCAAGGTAAAAAGAGGAAAGAGCGCTATAAGAAATAGGGGCTGTTCCGTTTTTGCGTGTCGTGATTTTTATTGCCTTACATTTCCAATTCAAAGCAGCTTATAATTTTCCCACGTAAATATATTTCCTTCTTTTTTTTTTCGTATTCCCGGGACGAGTACGAGATCGATTGTATCGAGACGGCTGTGTCGGCGTAATGTTTAAAAAAAATGTTTAATTCCGTTAGATAAATAAAAGCTCAAAGCTCTCTTTACGCGAGACGACAGCACGAAAATAGAGAGAGAGAGAGACCGAAAAGCGAAGGTACGGGAGAGCGGAGAAGGAGGAGGAGAGTAACGTGAAAATACGAGGCACAATAAACAGCAATAAAGGCAGGACAGAGAGAGAGAGGATGGATAGAACAAAAAAAGGTTTTTGAAAATAGGGACGCGAGCGCGAGAGACGGATATAAATAGCTGTATTGCCGGACGACCATAAATACTTGAGTGAAAAATGTGGCTATATCCCCTACTATATACCATTGCAGAGTCGCAAAACTTGGCTTCATTCGTCCAAATGTTCATAATACGCGTATGCCCATATATCTCAAGAGAGAGAGAGAGGCGCATATTATAGCAAATTCCTAGGTGTCAGTCGCGGGGGCAT